CCCTGTGAATAGTGAACGTAAAGTTTATTTATGAATGGATGGAGTAATAAACAAATCCAAAGAGTGATTTCATGTTTTCCCCCTTAAATAGAGCATACTCCGTGTAATGGCAACATACTCCATCCATCATAGTTTATTTGTCTAGTTTGACTTTTTTAAGTAAAATTGAATAAACTTTGAGCTTCAATTAAATAAAAATTGAAATATTTTTTTAACATAAAAATGACTTTATTGGATTTATAGTATTGAAAACTTTCAAAATTCTATTTCATTATGTTAATAATAGGCAATACAAATTGAGAGTAATTAGAGCTCAAAGTTTGTCCAATTTGACTCGAAAAAGTCAAACTGGAAAAATAGACTCGGACGGAGATAGTATAATATACACCCCCTTCGTTCGGAAATGTCCTTCCTATTTGACTTTTCGTAGTGTGAATTTGTAAATTTTAACTCCGATATATAAATAAAATAGATTGTATTATGATATAAATTGAATATCAATATATTAATATTGAAACATAGTTTCCAAATATTAACTTTTTATAAAATAAATCTATGTATAAATATAGATATTAATAGTTAAAGTGCAACATAAGAAATCATGAAAAGTTAAATGAGAAGAACATTTCCATACGTACAGAGTAAAAAACATACAGAATGTCAATATATACTACTCCCTCTGTCCACCATAGATCTTCCCAGATACTATTCACAGGGTTAAACTTTACTCAATTTGTTTGCTCAATTTTACTTGTCATTTCATAAAATAATATAGTCTTGTCACCTCTAGTTTTGTAGAATTTTTCATGTAGTTTATTACTATATAAATTTTATTTTAAAATTTTACTCCTATAATCAATTAAATTGAATTAAAAATAAAGTCGATCAAGCCTCGTAACGCGTAATGGGAAGATCATACATGGACGGAGGGAGTATCACATTATAATAATCGTATTTTGAATACCGAGTATAAAAGAATGAAAAAAATAAGAGTATGTCACCCCTACTTTAAAAATTTAGAATAAAAGGTATATTTTGCTATAAAGATATATGAATCCTATTTTGGAACAAGAATTATATTTTGGTGATTTTGAAAAAAAATACACTGAGGTGCGTGTATAGGAATAGAAGTTTGTCAAGTGTCAAATCAGTATCTCTGTGTTGGTCGGCAACGAAGCTTGACAAGGCTGTTTGAGGGTGTGTGTCGTGCGTCTTTGTCTCTCTATTGTCTCTGTCTTCCCCATTAACCCACCCGACACCCCTCTCCTTCCTCCTCCTTTTAACCATTTACGGACGGACTGCATCGGAGCACTATTATTTATACATCGTCAAACATTTTTTTTCCTCAACCGCTCCATTGGTTAGGTCCAAATCCTCCTCCGCCACTTCCGCTGATCTGGGTGTGGTCAAAGATTCAATCTTTCTGCATAAAACTCGAGAAAGAAACGTGGGTTTCAATGATTTCTCGTCTTTGATCATGAAAACCAACCAAATCTTTGAAGGTAACCCTCCATTCTTTCTCTTTCAAATTTCGTCCCGAGTTCCAATTTCATCTGCTTTGCTTTGCTTAATAGTACCAAATAATCTCAACAATTTTTGGTTTTTTCTTCTATGGTTGTGCTTTGCAGCAATTTGGTCCTGATAAAAATTAGTAATAGTAGAGAGAAGATTAGCTAGCATACCTTGTTATTGTTAAAATTGACTGAGAAAACAAAGAATGGTTAATGAAGTGGTGGAGAGGTGCTTGGATTCCAAGTTATGGCATGCCTGTGCTGGTGGGATGGCCCAAATCCCACCTGTAGGTTCTCAAGTCTTTTACTTTCCACAAGGTCATGCTGAGCATGCCAATAAGTCTATGGATTTTGGGGGCTACCCTACAATCCCATCTCTATTGCTGTGTAGTGTGTCTTCCATAAGGTATTTGGCTGATTTGGAGAGTGATGAGGTTTATGCCAAGATTAGATTAGTCCCTTTGAAGGAGGATGTGTGTGATGATGATGATGATGTTGACGACGAGGGGAGGTTTCTGGCTTCTTTTGGTAACAATGAGAAGAAACAAGAGAAGCCGACCAATTCGTTCGCCAAGACATTGACACAATCTGATGCAAACAATGGTGGAGGTTTCTCCGTTCCCAGGTATTGTGCTGAAATGATTTTCCCCCGGTTGGATTACACCGCTGAGCCGCCCCTCCAGACGGTCGTGGCTAAAGATGTCCATGGAGTGAGTTGGAAGTTTAGGCATATTTATAGGGGGACGCCGAGGCGTCATTTATTGACAACCGGTTGGAGTAATTTTGTGAACCAGAAGAAGCTGGTCGCCGGGGATTCAATCGTGTTCCTGAGGGCCGAAAATGGGGAGCTGTTCGTTGGGATCCGAAGGGCAAAGAGAGGAATGAGCCCAAAGAGTTCGGGGTGGAACACTCGGGGTTTTTTTGGTCATTCGGGGAATTGCGTCGAAGCAAGGACACTTGCAGGGCGCTCTCAGCCTTTTGAGGTGGTTTTTTATCCGCGAGCTTGCACTCCGGAATTCGTGGTCAAGGCTTCTGTTGTGAGGGAGGCAATGAGAATCCGGTGGTGTCCTGGGATGAGGTTCAAGATGCCCTTCGAAACAGAGGACTCTTCCCGGATAAGCTGGTTCATGGGAACCGTGTCTTCGGTTCGGGTGGATGACCCAATCCGCTGGCCCAATTCTCCATGGCGCCTCCTCCAGGTGACTTGGGATGAACCAGACTTGCTTCAGAATGTGAAGGGAGTCAGTCCATGGCTGGTTGAGTTGGTGTCAAGCATACCCTCCGTCTCCGCCATCCATTTATCTCCCCCAAGAAAGAAGCTTCGACTTCCTCAACCTCTTGAGTTTCCCACGGTTGGCCACATCACGGCGTCCCCTTCTTTTACCCTTCATAGTATCATCAATACTAATCCCCTAATGATCCCTAGCAGCCCCGTGTCGTCTTGTGTATCGGACAACCTTCCTGCAGGCATACAGGGAGCCAGGCAAGTACAATTCGGGCTCTTCCCGTTCGACAGTTGTGAAAAGGATGGGAGTTTATCTTGCCTATTGACAATAGGGAAAACCAGCCCGGATTCGAAAGAGAAGAAGAAGAAGCCCCGGGAACTGATGTTGTTTGGTAAAGCCATTCTCGTTGAGGACAGAAAAGATGAGAAATTCATGTTTGGTTTGGATGATGAGAATGGTGATCGCCGTTGTAAGGTGTTTGTGGAGTCCGATGATGTTGGAAGGGGGATTATTGACTTGTCGGCGACATGTTTGGGATCCGAAGATCGGAGGTGCAGAGCAATGTGCTGTACCAGGATACTGCCCGTTCGGTCTGGCACATCGGAGACGAACCCTTCAGGTGGGAATTAAACCCATTTTGGCCTAATTAACTCTTACCAGACATGACTTTATGTTCCTGGGAGAGTGTTTTAAAAACAGAACATGATTTGCCTTGTTCTCAATTTTTTTTTTTGGGGTTGTGCAGTGGATTCATGAAGAAGGCAAGGGCAAGAAGGCTTAGTATTGTATCAGATTCAAGCAGTGACAATATGGGGTGGGGATAGAACTTATGAGACTCACTTGGCTGATCTCATTTGTGGGTTTCCCAAACAGAGCCGCCATTGTTACTCTTTAAGATTACTTATTTATAAAACACATTATTGTCGTGGTGACTATATTTATTTTTTGGAATATGAATGTTTGTTACCTCATTACTTTTGATGAAATATATTAGTGGGTCTGTTGGAGTTATATTCTTGGCCTAGGTTGATTAGATGAAAGCATACTATGGCTTTGTCTAAAAATTGGCCGTTTGTGTTGATGAGTTACAAACTTCATTATTTATAAGAGTAATTTACCTAAATAGAATTAAAACATAATGACTCACTCAATATAAGTTCATATGCTTTTATTTCTCAATGTAAGACCATTAGTCATTATCTATTAATCATTATTCAACTAAATATCTAGTATCACTTGGGAAATGGCTTATGTTTTAGTCCTATTCTGTGCAAAATTTCACTATTTATAAACATCGGTTGAAAATAAAGTTAAGAACATATTATTATCAACTTAGGAAGAATAATACGAAATATAGTATTATTAATATTTACTTTCTTTATTCATAAAATGGTTCCAATTCTGATTTTTAGGCGAAATACAGAGTGTATATTTGTGAGTGACTTTCTAATTTTGCACTTGATGTAATGAATAAGTAAGATGTGATGAATATATTATTAGTGAAAAAATATGATTTGATAGGTAAAGTAAGAAAAAATAGGGGTAAAAGTAAAAATGTTATAAGGAAAACAAAAAATGAAAGCAAAAATATTTTAAGAAACGAATGGAGTATTATTACCATAATTTCATATTCTATATTTTTATTAGAGTTCTCTATTTATCTTGAGACAAGCGGCGCAGCAAACAGCCTCCTTCGATCCACCACCAGCAGCGCCAACGCCCGGAGACAATTTCCCCCTCAACCCAGCGACGACGGCGAATCAGGCACGACGGCGACAACACGACGAGAATCCACGGCAACGAGGCAATGACGAGGGGCAGCGCCGGTCTCCGCCCTCTAGCGATTGTGGCGACCTCCGGCACGTATAGCAGCAGCGACCACGGACCTGGGCAACGGTGGTCGTGCGTTGACTATGGTTACAGCAAACTGGTGATGTGACTCTTCCCGGCGATTTCCGGTGACAACATCCGGCGAAGGTTCCTTGCTATTTCCGACGAGTTGTCATGATGATTTAGCAATCCCGTCAGCAGCAGGCAGTGTTGGGCAGTGGTGGTGAACCCGAGCAGCCTGGGCGCGTCCTTGCAAATCTCCGATAAAACCTCCCTGATTCCGGCGATGTTGACAACGACTCCGGGCAACCATGGCGGCGTCCGGGCAGTGGTGATGTACCGGGTGAGCAGTAGCGAGAGATAGCCCAGCGGTTCCCACACGAAGGCCTAGTGACGTCTGAACAGTGACAATTAGGTTTGGACAACGATAGGCAGAATTGGGCAGCTAGGCAAAGCGAGGTGAGTACAGGAACATCTAACACTATAATATGCATATATGTTTGAAATTCCGTTCATAATTGTTGTCATAGTTGATCTGTGTGATTTGTCTGTATAGTTGTTGATTGTGGTTTCGGGAATTATTGTTGTTGAATCGAAAAGGGTAGTATGCATGACATAGGTTTTGATTGACGAGATAATGTGCTTGATAATGTTTCAAATGTTAATATGAACCTATTGGTGTTTGTTGTTATGAGATTATTGTTGATTTGATGCTGAAAAACGAAACAGATAAGAAGTTTGAAAATTATTGCGTCAGACGGTAGGCGGTACTACCACCGGTGTCTGTGACCGTGAAAATTATTATGTTCCCTTTGCCGGTGGTTGTGACCGTAAGAAGCCGGAAAATTATTATGTTCCCTTTGCCGGTGGTTGTGACCATTCGGTACCTAGGTACCGAACAGACGATAGGCCGTACCGTGACAGGTACCGTCTGGTACCTGATGCTGGTCTGTTGATCTGTATTTTTTTCAAGGATTGATTCCAAGACTTCGTGTATTACATGACGGTAAACATGAGTGTTTACACCGAGTGTTAGGCTGTTATTTGGTTATGATGGATATCTTGTCAAATCCATTATGGATTTATGAATGTTATATCATGCATTGATTATTGAATGTTGGATATATCCCCTAAAAGAACTCTAGGAAATGACCTGAATGGATTAGTGGGAAGATATGCCACAAAGTTAAATGACACATTCAAAAAACCAAACAACCACCGAAAACTCTCCCACGTATAAATTGACTCTTGCTAAGAGTTGTTGTTTGGTTTTTTGAATGTGTCATTTAACTTTGTGCGCAGAGATTTGAATGTGGTTGCCCATACTCGGGCCAGACGCCTGTTGGTGCAACCGGTTATTGGGAGTCTATTCCACTTAGTTTTGTTACTCATTTGATTTCGGACGAAGTAAAGTTTGTTTTTCCTTTCAAAAAATAGAAGGTGAGATAATTTTACGTAACTCCACCAAAGATGAAATTAAATTTGACAAATAATTAAACGAAAGAATATCCAATCACAACCCGTTAACTTTTACATTAAAAGGGTAACGGTGACCAAAAACACGTAACAAGTTTAAAAGTTGGAATAATTTAACATAATATTGAAAAGTCTGTTAATAATAATAATAATAATAGTAAACTGTGGACAGAGAATACATTCCACACCAGTACGTTACACATGATATTAAACGGTGGAATAACAATTTCACCAAAAAGTAGGGTTGGGGTAAAGGTTGCTCGAGACTATTAATTTGGACGTGGATTGATCAGTTGTAAGACCCAGCACGAGCCATGACCTTAAAGCAAATATAGGTAACAATTGCAGCGAACGCTTGCCAACCGCAAGCAACTACTCCAATGTTTAGTAAAAAATTTTCCTTCCTGTTAGAGATTTTTAATCTTACGCCACCAATGAGTACGCTTGCTCCTCCAACAACTATGACCCTGTACAGTGGCAGATTCAGAAACGTTTTCACTTAGGGCACTTCGATTATAATATATATAACGAAAGTCAAATAAAGTAGAAAAAACTTAATTAAAAATAAGAGTTAATTAAATAGCAAGATTGTATCTTTTACAATTCTCTTTGAGTTTTGATCTCTAAACAAATTACAATACAAACAATACGCTCTATCTGCTTTCACACTTATTCTAGCCAATTACCATATTTCTCAAGCTAGTCATCACAAAAGTGTCTTTGCCTATACACTGCGGCCATTTCACCTAGAAAATCATGGACTTTTGGTTTGATAATGATAATTTATGTGTTAATATTTAGTATTAATTGTCCCTTTTGATGTGAATTCTCTTTCAGTTATAAGGAGTCATTCATGCATATCTGATCCCTTGTACATATTTGGTGTATAAATATTCTCTTGTTAGGTTGTTCAATACAAAATACACACGTTCAAATTTTATATGGTATGAGAGAAGTTACTTTAAATGGATCAGGTTTTCTTTCTTCTTCTCCGTGTGTCTGACGGCTATAAACAACTGAAGATCTCGACCGTGGGGTCGGTAAGTCACGTAAGCTTAGTTTGTAAGGTTTAGAGAGAGAAAGAGAGTGCAAAGTAGGAGTATTATTAGCTTAGATTCGGATCCTTTACAATGAGGGGGCCTTGTCCCTTTTATAGATTCAACAATACAACTAAGTCAACCCCTGTAACTGACACTTGTCGTCTAGTAGACGTCACTTGATCTTCATAATTTGGTCCTTTTCACCTTGTCGCTATCACCCGGTCCCTATCATCCACTCGCTATCCTCCCGTCATTGTCATCCGGTCCATGCCGAGGAGGGAAAAGCTCAGGGGCCGAGCCAAGCTCGTCCATACCGAGCCGAGGCCACAGACCGAGCTCAGCCTACTTGGATGTGGGGCCTGCCATAGACCTAATACTAGGTTGACGTGGTGATATCATTCGTCGCTGTCGTTCTGCTCTTCATCAGCATCATCATGTCTTCTGATTCCAACTCTTTGACTTCGTCGAAACCACTCTGAATGTCTGCTTCCAAACACTTTCCCATTAAATTGTTGGGTTTGGGCTCCCAATTATGTGTCATCCTTAATTAAAAGGCCCAAATATTTTTGGAGGATAAGTCCTCAATTCATTTTTGTCCACATATATTGGGAGTAAAGTTTGGCAGTTGTATACTACACACCACGCATAATTCACGCACAAAACAAAAAAAAAGAGTGAAAAAAACAGCCGCAAGAAAAGGGAGAAAAACAGCAGATAGTCGCTGCCATTTTCAGAAAAACGCAGACCTGGTTTTCTTTACGATCGGAGGTCCAAATCTTGTCCGATCGAGCTGAAATTTTAGGAGGAGTCTAAGGACTTGTGGAGCTTCAATCTGAACGGTGGAGATCGAATTGCAACGGTTCAATCTCAAGTTATGAGCTTCGCACCAGTTGCAGTTTTTTGGTGATTTGTTACACTTTTGTTCCTCTATTTTGATTCTAGTGCCTTCGTAGTGTTGTTAAGGGCTAGATATCATTGTGGTGCTGTTATATTGTGCATTTGTACTCTCAATTTGGTGGTAGTGGAGTTGGGTGGACCGAAGGGTCTCGTGGTTTTTTTTACTCTTTCACATTGATAGGGTTTTCCACGTTAAAATCTCGTGCCTCATATCGTTTTATTTTTTCGTGTTTGGATTATCTTGTTGCTTGGTGTTCTTTGGTGTGTTTGTTTGTTGCTCCTCATAGATTCATTCAAGAGGGAAAGGTGTTGATCTTGGGCACTACACATTCATTTGTGTTCTTGCTTTCCCAACAAGTGGTATCAGAGCGCCGGAGTAATCTGTTATTTGTCTTGATTGAATGATGGAGCCAAATTACAGTAGGATGATCAATTTGAATGGCACAAATTATCACAAATGGAAGGGTAAAATGAAGGATTTACTCTTTGTGAAAAAGCTGCATCTACCAGTGTTTGCTACTCAGAAGCCAGAGTCAAAAAGTGATGAAGAGTGGGCTTTCGAACATGAAATGGTTTGTGGTTTCATTCGTCAGTGGGTAGATGATAATGTTCTGAATCACATCTACAATGAATCTCATGCTAGAACTCTATAGGACAAGCTTGAATCCTTGTATGCATCAAAAACAAGGAATGACAAGCTATATTTGCTTAGGCAAGCTATGAATCTGAGATTCAAGGAAGGTTCTTCTATTTCTGACCACTTGAATGAATTTCAAGGGTGTTTTGATCAGTTGTCAGACATGGGCGTAAAGTTCGAGGATGAGATTTTGGGGCTTTGGTTGCTGAATACTTTGCCTGATTCTTGGGAAAATCTTCGTGTGTCTTTGATTAGTTCTGCTCCTGGTGGTACAGTAACTATGGAGTATGTCAAAGCTGCCGTTCTGAATGAAGAAGTGAGACGCAGAACTCATGAGACATCTACTTCAAAATCTGATGTCTTGGTTACTGAAAATAGGGGGAGAAGCAAAGACAGAGATCATGGAGAATTCAAAAGGGGCAAGAGCATGAGCAAGTTCAGGTCAAAATACAAAAATGTTGAGTGCCATTATTGTCATAAAAAGGGGCACTTAATGAAAAACTGCTTCAAGCTGAAGAAAAAAGACAAGAATAAGCCAGAAGGGAAAGATGGTGAAAATGATCGCCATGTTGCAGCCACGACTTCGGGTGATCTGATAGTTGTTTCTGATAACGACTTGATTAATGTTGCCTCTGATGAATCAAGTTGGGTTATCGATAGTGGTGCCGCTTTCCATGTTACGTCAAGGAAAGATTTCTTCACATCTTATACTCCAGGTGATTATGGGGTATTGAAGATGGGTAATGATGGTCGTTCACAAGTTGTTGGCATTGGAGTTGTGGTCCTGGAAACAAAAACTGGGATGAAGTTAGTGTTGAAAAATGTCAGACATGCACCAGATATTCGCTTGAATTTGATATCTACTAGTGTCTTGGATGATGAAGGTTATATGAGTACCTTTGGTGATGGACAATGCAAACTCACTAAGGGTTCTCTTATTGTGGCTCGTGGGAAGAAGTGTTCAGGTTTATATTGGACCAATGCTTCAGTCTTTATTGATTCTGTCAATGCAGTCGAGAGTGATAGTTCTTCAGAATTATGGCATAGAAGACTCAGTCACATCAGCGAGAAGGGTCTTGATTATTTAGCCAAGAAGAATGTTCTATCAGGAGTGAAGGATGCAAATTTGAAAAGGTGCGGTCACTGTTTGGCTGGGAAACAGAACAGGGTGTCCTTCAAGAGTCATCCATCTTTCAAAAAATCAGAGTTGCTTGAATTGGTACATTCAGATGTTTGTGGTCCTATGAAGACAAAGACGCATGGTGGTGCACGTTACTTTGTGACATTCATTGATGATTGCTCAAGGAAACTATGGGTGTATGCCTTGAGGTATAAAGACCAAGTTCTTGGGGTCTTTAAACATTTTCATGCTTCCGTTGAGAGAGAAACGGGAAAGAAATTGAAGTGTATTCGCACAGACAATGGTGGTGAATACCTTGGCCCGTTTGATGAGTATTGTAGACAACAGGGCATCAGACATCAGAAGACGCCTCCCAAAACTCCACAGCTCAATGGCCTTGCAGAAAGGATGAACATGACATTGGTGGAGAGAGTCAGATGTTTACTTTCAGAAGCACGTTTTCCTAAATCATTTTGGGGTGAGGCTTTGTATACTGCTGCACATGTAATTAATTTATCACCTGCTATTGCTTTACATGGAGATGTTCCAGATCGAGTATGGTCCGGGAAAGATGTTTCTTATGACCATTTGCGTGTTTTTGGGTGTAAAGCTTTTGTACATGTTCCAAAGGATGAGAGATCCAAATTAGATGTCAAGACGAGGCAGTGCATCTTTGTTGGCTATGGTCATGATGAATTTGGCTATAGACTTTATGATCCTGTTGAGAAGAAGCTTGTCAGAAGCCGTGATGTTATCTTTATGGAGGATCAGAATATTGAAGATATTCAGAAGATGGAGAAGTTATGATGATCTTGTTGATTTGAATCCAACTCCCGTGGCTCATACGCCTAATGCTACCAATGGAGATCAGAATGATGTTAACAATCATGTTCCATATGATTTTGCCGGTGGTAATGGTGAAGAAGATACAAATGAGGTACATAATCAACCTCATGTTGATAACAATTCATCCACAGTTGCTCTCAGGAGGTCTACAAGGGAAAGAATTCCCTCTACTCGTTATTCTACTAATGAGTATGTGCTCCTTACTGACGGGGGAGAACCTGAGTGCTATGAAGAGGCTATGGAGAACGAGGATAAGGATAAATGGGTTGAGGCAATGAATGATGAAATGAAATCATTGCATGATAATCATACTTTTGAGCTAGTCAAGTTGCCCAAAGACAGAAAAGCTTTGAAGAATCGGTGGATCTATAAGTTGAAGAATGAACAAGGTGCTTCGTCTCCACGATACAAAGCTAAACTAGTGGTTAAAGGCTACGGTCAGAAAAAGGGTATTGACTATGAGGAAATATTTTCTCCAGTCGTGAGGATGTCTTCGATTCGAGTTGTTTTGGGTCTTGCAGCCAGCCTTGACTTGGAAGTTGAACAGATGGATGTCAAAACAGCATTCCTTCATGGTGATTTGGGGAAGGAAATTTATATGGAGCAACCGGAAGGCTTTGTGGTGAAGGGCAAGGAGAACTATGTTTGTAAGTTGAAGAAGAGCTTGTATGGCTTGAAACAAGCTCCAAGGCAATGGTATAAGAAGTTTGAGTCTGTGATGATCCAGCAAGGATATAAGAAGACTACTTCTGATTATTGTGCTTTTGTGCAGAAGTTCTCTGATAATGACTTCATTATTTTGTTACTTTATGTTGATGATATGCTTATTGTTGGTCATAACTCTTTGAGAATTGCAGAGTTGAAAACAGAGCTTAGTAAGTCCTTTGCGATGAAGGACTTGGGACCAGCAAAACATATTCTTGGCATGCAGATTACACGTGACAGAGAAGCAAGAAAGTTATGGTTGTCTCAGGAGAAGTACATTGAAAAAGTGCTTTAACGATTTCATATGGAAAAGGCTAAAGTGGTGAGCACACCTCTTGCTACACACTTTAAGCTTAGCTCTAGACAGTCCCCCATCTAATGATGCTGAGAAGGCAGAGATGCGACGTATTCCTTATGCATCTGCAGTAGGAAGTTTGATGTATGCAATGGTTTGCACAAGGCCAGATTTAGCGCATGCAGTTGGTACAGTAAGCCGCTTCCTTTCTAATCCAGGAAAGGAGCATTGGAATGCAGTGAAGTGGATTATGAGATATCTCCGAGGCACATCCAGTTTGAAACTTTGTTTTGGAACTGGAAAACCTGTTTTGAATGTTTACACAGATTCTGATATGGCTGGAGATATTGATACCAGGAAGTCTACATCTGGTTATTTGGTTACCTTTGCAGGGGGGGCTGTTTCATGGCAATCTAAGCTTCAGAAATGTGTTGCATTGTCCACAACAGAGGCCGAGTTCATTGCAGCTACAGAAGCTTGTAAAGAGTTGCTTTGGATGAAGAAATATCTTCGTGAACTTGGTGTTATTCAGAAGAGGTATGTCTTATATTGTGACAGTCAGAGTGCTATACATCTTAGCAAAAATCCTACTTTTCATGGCAAATCTAAACATATTGATGTACGTTATCATTGGATTCGAGATGTGCTTGATCTCAAGTTATTGGAGTTTGAAAAGATTCACACAGATGATAATGGTTCTGATATGATGACTAAGGCTTTGCCAAAGGGGAAGTTTGAAACTTGTTGTTTGATTGCCGGTTTGGCAACCACCTCCACATAGTTGGGAGGGGGGAGATTTGTTGGGTTTGGGCTCCCAACTATGTGTCATCCTTAATTAAAAGGCCCAAATATTTTTGGAGGATAAGTCCTCAATTCATTTTTGTCCACATATATTGGGAGTAAAGTTTGGCAGCTGTATACTACACACCACGCATAATTCACGCACAAAACAAAAAAAAGAGTGAATAAAACAGCCGCAAGAAATAGGAGAAAAACAGCAGATAGCCGCTGCCATTTTCAGAAAAACGCTGAAATTTTAGGAGGAGTCTAAGGACTTGTGGAGCTTCAATCTGAACGGTGGAGATCGAATTTCAACGGTTCAATCTCAAGTTATGAGCTTCGCACCAGCTGCAATTTTTTGGTGATTTGTTACACTTTTGTTCCTCTATTTTGATTCTAGTGCCTTCGTAGTGTTGTTAAGGGCTAGATATCATTGTGGTGCTGTTATATTGTGCATTTGTACTCTCAATTTGGTGGTAGTGGAGTTGGTTGGACCGAAGGGTCTCGTGATTTTTTTACTCTTTCACATTGAAAGGGTTTTCCACGTTAAAATCTCGTGCCTCATATTGTTTTATTTTTTCGTGTTTGGATTATCTTGTTGCTTGGTGTTCTTTGGTGTGTTTGTTTGTTTGTTGCTCCTCATAGATTCATTCAAGAGGGAAAGGTGTTGATCTTGGGCACTACACATTCATTTGTGTTCTTGCTTTCCCAACATAAATTAACCAAAAATAATTTCCTTGTTTGGAACCGTCAAGTCCAAACCACTCTTATCGGCTTAAACCTTTTTTTTGCTATGTAGTCAATTTGGTAAAGGCCCCCTATCCGTTTTTTTGATACGGCTAGGATGAAGCCCACGCACCCTGCCTATTGTCAAGGAACCAATTCAACCAAAAGCTCAAGCTTGTGGTTGTGGCCCAGAAATAGTTATTTATATTCTAACACCTATACCAGTCACATTGATATACTGTCCCCCCAACTTATCCAGTCACGGTTGCTCCAACTTGCACAGTCATACCCTCTTCCGATCCCCTTCCAGTATCCCGCTTTTCCAGTCCAGTGTTCCTTCTCCCACGTCTGGCCTTTTTATTCCAGTGTGGTCGGCCGACCTGTTCGTGAGCGTTGGCTAAATTCACGCTCCTTTAATGAGCATTTTGTGAAGCATATTAATTCTTTTGCATAGGATCCCCTTTAACTTATATGTAGGCTCGCAAAGCTGCACGATGGTGTGCTGAAATGGATTACGAGTATCACGCCCTTCAACACAATGACACGTGAGAGCGCGTGCCGCAGCCACCCCAACGTCTTATATATTTAGTATAAGTGGGTTTTTCGTATCAAACAAAATCCTGATGGTAGTGTGGAGGACCTGGCAAAACAGAACCGGAACCGATTATCCGAACCGAAATATCCGAAACCGAAACCAGAATGACCCGAAAAATGAAGATCCGATCTATAACCGAAAACCCGAAATTATCCGAATCGAACTGAAACCGAACTAAATAATTCATATCCGATTTAAATCCGAAACCGATTAGATCCGAAACTGATAATATCCGAACCGATTAAACCCAAAACCGATTAGAACCGAACCCGAAAATAACCGAAACCGATAAAATCTGAAACCGATTAGATCTGAAACCGATAATATCCGAACCCGATTAAAACTAAAATCGATAAATTCAGAACTATGTTTGCCTTTCAATAAGCATATTATATTTTTAAATTTTTACTTTTATTTTACCATTTGAACTAATTACATTACTTACTCATTCCCTCATAAAATGGATTATCTTCTTGAAAAAAGTACAAAGTTTTATGCCTTAAATTTATTATATGTAGAAATTAAAGATAAGTTATACATATAAATGATAACGCACAAACAAATAAAATTTCCGTAATTTTTAAATAGTGAAGTGTGATATTCTTTTTGGAACGAAAGGAATATATGATGAATTGTATGGAATAACTATATTTTATCCTAATTTCATCTCATTACAATAAATTTTATTGATTTGAGATTTAATTTGATTAGTTTCAAACCAATTCACTCAATATTAGTCAATAAAATTAGATGCTAGTGTTAACATTTTGAAAAGACTCTCTAGCGGCAGCCTTTACTGTTATCATTTTCAAATTTGATCTACACCATTACATTTAGGTGTAAAATTAATTATATTTCACTCTATTAAATTTAAATTTCTCTATTTTCAACCAAATATACTCAATAATTTACAAATTTTGCACTCAATTGAATAAAATTCACTTAATTTCACCCAATTTTACTCAATTTTTACCAAATTGTATTCAAATGGAACATAAGACTATTTGAATTTATCTTTTATCCTTTCATTTATATACATAAGTATATTAGTATATGGGAGAAAAATTTTATATTTCAAAACTAAATTTTAAAATAAATTTAATTATATTAAATTTATATCATAATTAAATATATATGTTTTCATAATTTGTAGTCCAAATTTGTAAAATATGACTAAAAAGTCAAAAAGGGAAGATTATTTAGGGTAAAGATAATATAACTAGAAAAAAATATAAAATAATATGAGGTATTGAATTGATGATAGATTGATAAATGTGATAAAACATAAAAAGAAACACTGATAGTTAAATTTTAATTAGAAAATAATATATATCAAAAATATATTTGATCCGAAATCGAAATATATCCGAACTGAACTAGACCCGAAACCGAAATATATCCGACTCAAATTGTATCCGAACTGAAATCTATCCGAACCGATTTATAACCGAACCGTATCTGAACCGACTCGAAACCGAACCGAACCGAAAAATGTATAGAAACGAAATCAAATGCGAACCGAAATTTAACCAATCTGAACCGAACCGAACCGATTATAACATATAACCGAAAGATATCCGAAACGAAAAAATCCAACCCGAAACCGATCCGGTTGATCCGATTGCCACCTCTAGTGTGGACCGTTATAAGGTGCGCTTGGTGGCAAAGGGGTTTCTCCAAAAGCCCGGCATGGATTATTTTGAGACTTTAGTCCGGTTATAAAACTGGTCACTATTCGGATTATTTTTAGGGGAATTTACGTAAATAGCACTAAAACATAATGAGTTTTCCTAAATAGCACCACATGTATTTTTTTCCTAATCTAGCACTTTTAGTCAATTTCCATTAGTCATTATTCAAGTAAATATTGGTCATCACTGAACATTATGGACATTATAAAGTGCTATTTAGAAAATAAAACAAGTTAAGTGGTATTTAGGGAAATGATTTAAGTTTTAGTACTATTTAGTGCAAATATTTCTTATTTTTACTCTTGCCCTTACTCATTCTTGGTCG